CAATTAAATTCGCTCTGACTGGTTTGTGATTTCCGTAGAAACAGACCTGAAGACTTCCTGTTAATAAATTCACGATTTCTAAGATTACAATTTCTTGGAATTTCTGTAAAACTTGTATGTTCAAATTATTATTTTTTACTTTGATTTTCTTCATTCTCGTTAAACGCTGGCTGATTCAATCTACGGCTTCTTCCGACTTTTTGTTCAGTTGATGTAGATGAGGTTTCTCCAATTTTCTTGGGTTTTTCTGGAATGGGCTAAGTGATAATTGAACGCCGGTGTGAAAAGTTGGGCAACTTTTTCCGCAACCAAAATCTCTAAGTTAACAGCCATGTTAGGAAATATACTATATCTTCAACAAAATTGCTAGAAAAATGTTGTTGCTGACGAGGCTAAAACATAGTGTAAGTTTCCAGAAAAGATAATCCTAAGTGGGGTTCTTCCTCCTCAGTTAAAGCTTGGATATTTTTATCTTTTAGTTAAACTTGATTTTCGACATATAAGGCATGGAATAAAATCAAATGTCAATGGTTTAACCTAGAAAAAAAACAACCGGACATGGAGAAACCGGTCCTAAATAATTTGGACGTTTCAAATGTTATACCCATAGACAATAAAAAATAAAAAGACCTTCAAAAGTATAGCCGAAATAGGTTATACTATTACTGCGCATCCGGTTGCGCATAGCGCATTGCGGAATTTTTGGAAAGCTAGAGACTTACGAAAGATCAGTCCGATCATTCGATTCTGTTTCATCTTTCTCTGTCATACCAATTCACAAGACAAGGTCACCGTATGAGTTACAGAGCTTTTCTAGCTGTTTTGTAGAAACCTATCAAACATCCATAACTATAGAAACTGTGACCGAGAAAACAAATAAGTAACCTTAAAATAACGACATTTCCGTGTTGAAATTTGTCATTTTTAACCGATTGGGCGGTCGTCTAAGAAGACTCGAACTTACAAAATCTAAAGAACAAGAAGAAGAAATTGTCATTTTTATTAAGGCACTCGGTACCGCGTATCTATAATATTATGTACAACTAGGATAAACTGAACCAGTAAGTATACATGTTAGTTTTGTGATATACGGCATATTTTTTTACTGTTTTAGGAGACCTTAGTCTGAAGAGATAAAATGTAGATGTTAGGCCTTGGCCAGCTTAGCTTGTACATACATTAAAGCATGTATAAGGGATGTAATAACTGTGTTTGTAAACTCTTTAGGTATTTGACCTATCTAGCTATAATATAAGTATATTTTTTCTAGTACAATTTAGTGTTTATTTTGCCTTTTTTTTAAATTTACATCAAAAAATGGCACAAAACTTTATGAAGTACCACATCATTTTTCTCATTCGCATTTGAGAAAAAAAGATGTGGAACAACATAAGTAAGTTTTTTGTGCAATCATCTCAAGTCAAATTTCAAAATTCCCGCCATTTCAGTATTTGTTCCGGCTGCCACTATTGACGCCACCGTCGCTGTGACGTCAGCACTATACAAACTTTCATGTTATCAATCAGGTACTCTTACCTTGGTTTATTATATTTCTCTATGGTTATACCTAATCTTAACGAGCTACTAAACTCAAAACTCTGACTTTATAAAATAAAGCCTCACTACAATAAGTAGTTACCTTTGGCAGCTAATATATAAACAGATGCATATTGCAGCAGCTGCACATGAGTAATATATTTCAAAGAAAAGTTGAAATTACACTGTTTCTAGTATGCAAAGTATGTACAAGTATATTTGCGTGTGTACCAGTACCTTTAGAAGTGTTAACTTTTTAACATTGTTTTATCTAGGACGGGTTAACTTAATACCTACGAATAGGAGGCTATTTTGAGCAAATGCGGGCGACTGTATAATTTTCTTTTTTGAAGAAGGTTCATGTATCTTGTTATGTTGTACATCAATCACTTAACAAGACTAGTTTTTTTTTTTTATATAAAAAAAAGAATTTTGCTGAAGTAGTACCCAGAATGCGGCCTATAATCACATAATTTTTAAATTCAAAGGTACATCTGCGACCTCTATCAAGCGACCTGAAAGACTGGCTCAGTCTCGCCACCTACCGTTGTGGTTTCAAATTTCTTGTGCATTTTCAATGGTAGTGGATATAAAAATAAAGCTTTCTCCTTCAGAATTCTTCATATAGGGATCAATTTTTGGTGTTAAAAGCGTCACCTATTTTACAGAGGACGTGAATATTACGATATTACGTTGAAAAAACTTTTCCAACTCAATGACAATAGCTGGGCAACTGTATGAGCTACCAATACCAAATTTGGCTCAACTTATAGGGAATATAAACATAATTCCCGAAGATATTTCAATAGAACTCAATGGAATTCTTGACATCATGATGCATAAAATATAAGTTTCAGAGTCTTATATAACATTATAACAGATAATTCTATATTTATACAATATGATTTAGGTATTCGCCACTTTTTATGAAAAATACTTAAGACTATACCCGTCCAAAATTGATTTACCTTCATCAAAGACAATAACGCAGAAATCATGACGTAGGTAACCAGCACTATTTTAACCCGTCATTACATGGCGTTCGGTCAAATCGACCGATTGCCTAAAAGTTTATACGAATTTTTAGATTTTTTCGCGGAGACGATCCCTAGGGCTAGAGGCATGTCCTACGCAGGTTTACTAATCAGTACAGACATGAAACTTTCAAACAATACCTGCGTAAGTCATGCCTTAGCGTTCAGCATACGTTTGGGAATGGGATCGCTTCCGCGAAAAAAGTGTACAAGCACTATAATTCCTAGAATTCATAATCATTACAAAGGGAATTATATTATGCAGTACAGTTACCGTATTATCGACAGCTAAAGGTACTGCCGATATCAGAAAAGGTCAATTTTGAACACAAATATTTTGGATACTCAGGTTCACGCGCCTGAAGCACCGACTATGAAAACAACAGGCGAATTGAAAAGTCACAAACTGACACAATCGGATATTTATTCTTTTGAATGTAACACTTGCAAAGCAAAATTTAAACGAAAACTCGACTTGAAGAATCACCAACTGATACACTCGGATATTTTTCCTTTTGAATGTGACACTTGCAAAGCAAAATTTACCCTTTCCCACGTCAAAAAAAATTACGTTGATTCCCACGTGGGGTACATTCGCACCCCGTGATAAAAATGATACCTACTTCTGATAATTAAACATGATTTTATTTATACTAAACAGTTATGATAGATAAAATCAACCTATTGAGTACAGTTAGCGAAAAAAAATAGTTAGGAAATGGTATTTTCGACCAATATTTCGATTTATAAATTTTTCCGCCTTCTACTTCCCGTAAACTTTCGTTCTCTTCCTGCTCCACAGATACTTCTTCATTAGCTTTATTATCGTGATTTCTAAATATTGCAGGCTGGAAATCTATTTCCAACCTGCAAATTTCCTGCAAGGTGACTATTTGATAGAGTAGCCACAGATCCCACGTGGGATACGTCATTGGGTACATGTGCCCCACGCTATTCAAAAATTAGTATTACTAAAAAATAAATAAACAGAAAATTTTTGATGATCACTAATTATGTGCAAAGCCCTTACTGACACAAAATAAAATTAGTCACAAAAAATATGCACTTTTTATGAAAATATGCTAGAAAAATTGTTTGTGTACATTTGTACCCCATCCGGGAAGACGAAGGTTAAACGAGAAGCCGAATTGAAGAATCACAAACTAACACATTTGGATATTTATCCTTTTGAATGTGACACTTGCAAAGCCAAATTTAAACGAAAACTCGACTTGAAGAGACACCGAGTGAAACACTCGGATATTTTTCTTCTGGGATGTGACATTTGCAAAGCAAAATTTAAACGAAAAGGCGTTTTGAAGAATCACAAACTAAACATATTTGGATATCTATCCTTTTGAATGTGATACTTAGAAGAGCTTCAACAAAAAACCAAAATATTTTTGGGCCAATGTGCATCAGGCATTCTTGGATGGACAAAACTGCCAACCTTGTACCAGTTGCGTTATTACTGATTTTATCAATGGTCGGTCTGTGTGACCGACACGCGTGTACTCCCGGGTTAATACCTACTTCGTTTGACTACAATGAAGCCCAACTTGTCACAAAACTAGATCTCAACTCACTTTCTGGCCGACTCCGTTTTATACCGCGTCAATGCTTCTAGAATTATCTAGATAGTTCGTTTCCTTTGGAACTTTCATAAAGACTTTTCTTCAAACACAACATATCTGACGTCAATCTGAGTCTCAGAAATGGAATTAGGAATTTTTTGAAAAATACTTGTATAATTCTTAACAATTCAACTTTGGGATTTTTTCAAAAATACTTCCAGGAATCTGAGCAATTTGAAACTTTCAGGAATTCATAATTGAAGTCTTTTCTTCAAATACAACAAATCTAAAGTGAATTCGAGCCTCAGAAATAGAATTAGGAGTTTTTTAAAAAATCCTGCAAAATTCTTAACAAATCAACATTGGAAATTTTCCAAAAATACTCCCAGAAATCTGAGAAACTTGAAACTTTTAGGAATTAATTATTAAAATCTTTCTTTGAACACAAAAAATCTGAATTTGGAAGATCATATAATTGCGCGTCGAGCTCATAGGCAGCCCTGGTGGTTATGGTACCCAGAGATTCAGATGGTAAAAACGTGCGTATTTATGTGAATTATCAATGAATAAACGCAATTACAGTTAGTAACAAGTACCCGCTACCAAGGATGGATAATCTTCTTCACTTGACTAAAAGAACTTTTCACATGTGGTGTTTGGATTTGTGTTCCGCATATCACCAGATAAACAGCTTTTACTACTCCTTTCGGAACTTATCGTTTTAACAGGATACCGTTTGGACTGAGAAATGCACCTGAAACTTTTCAGCGCTTGATCGATCAGTTTCAACGTGGACTCAGTAACTCGTGTTTTCACGTCTCCGTCAATTCAATTTACGAGTCAACTATGAACTCTTTTAAGATAAAAATTATTTAATTTCATCAAAAATTCACAATTTATTGATCTAATCAAATTACTATGTACACTTTTTTAGATAAATTACCTAAACCTAGAGAGAAAAGTGCAAAATTACTATCACTACAAATATATTTAAAAATAATAAGTAGCTACCTATTACCTATTCATAAAAAAAGTGAAAAATTAAGTAAATACTAAACTGACGATGGACCTAAACGATGAAATACTGTTGTTATGTTTCAAGACCCAATACAAAAAAACAACCCTCCATTGCAAAGCCACTTAGATTCAACATAAATATATAAGCTAAATGATTATCTTGAGCTAAAAATATTATTAACTTAACTAATAACACAGCCTTTGGACTTTGTTCACAAACTCATCAAAACTTTAATTCGCCTTTTCAGAAACTTAGATCTACTTAGCAGATGAGTTTTTGAAATAAATAATATTTTACTCTTATAATACTAAGCTCTTTTTCATTTTGTTCAATATAACAGCCGAACTATAATCTGCCTGAGGTTGATCTTTGTCTCCCCAACCCCATATTTCGTGACTTCCATCTCCAGTTCTACTGACTCTCTTTTTGATCATGTCTTCTGAAGCAAATTTCAGCTCGTAGGCCCAACCAATTTTAGCAAAAAATTCGATAAAACTCCTGGTCAAATTGAAAGAAAACGCTCCAAATTCCGATGACCTGTAGTCCCACGGGAATGTGTGGTGGTAGTTGTGAAAACCTTCGCCAAATGTTACTAAAGAGATACCGGTACTGTCTGATGGCCGAATGGATCTGTCATAAGGTTTGTTTCCAAATCTATGTGCAAACGAGTTAATAGTCAAAGTATTATGTACAATAATCAAGTAACGCAATATGTTGAGGCTAATAGCATTAGTAAAAGTCTCCATCCAAAAATACATCGGCACAATGACAGGAATTACAAAGCAGGCAATCGTCATTAAAGGCATGTAATGTTTGTGCTGGAACTTCAACAAAGGATCTTGATAGAGGTCTGACAAATCGATGCCTTTTTGTTTTTCTTTGACTTCTGGATGTTTTTTCACCATGACCCAACCGATGTGAGAGAAAAAGAAGCCTCTGTTTACGTTGTGCGGATCGGCGTTGGTGTCTGAGTATTTGTGGTGCACTCGGTGGTCACGAGACCAATTAATGATTGACGTCTAAAAAAATGTATCCATTAAATTTTCTAATAATAGTTTAAAAATTCAATAAATAGGCTTACTTCATAAACGAAAGTGTCCAGTATTACCAGTAAAAGTCTCAAGGGTAATGTAGCTTTATATGATCTGTGTGACCATAGTCTGTGAGCTCCTGCTGTCACTCCAATTTGGCTCAATATTCCAACAATCAGATCTAGAAGTGAGAAAGTAATTTTTTACTAAATTGTTGAGTACATTGAGTTTTGCTCACACTCTATATTCTATATGTTACAAGTACCAGTGCATTGAAAATTATGGGAAGTTTTAGGAAATCAGCATTAATAATAATTGTCTAATTTTCCGAAATATGTTTTGTATTGATCTGGGTATTATTATCACTGATTTATACCTAGTTTCTTATTAATATTTTTCTCTAGCTTTTGTACATTATCTTTTATCTTAGTACAAGTCTATGTGGTTCGAGTATTTTTCAGGATTTTTCAAAGGTGATTTAACTTTTTCTGGTTCTGAGTCGGAGAAAACCTCATAATTTTATTTCTAAACTTCAGATTGACTTCAAATTTGCCTTGTTTGATGAAAATATTCTGGTTAATAAATCCTGAAAGTTTGAAATCGATCTGATACTCCAAAGTATTTTTCGGGATTTTTTAAAGGTGATTTAACGTGAATTTTCCAACTTTTTCTGGTATTAAGTTGGAAAAAACCTCATAATTTTATTTATAAACTTCAGATTGACTCCAAATTTGCCTTGTTTGATGAAAACATACTGGTTAATAAATCTTGAGAGTTTGAAATCGATCTGACACTCCGAAGTATTTTTCAGGATTTTTCAAAGGTGATTTAACGTGAATTTTCCAAATTTTCTGGTATTAAGTTGGAAAAAACCTCATAATTTTATTTCTAAACTTTAGATTGACTTCAAATTTGCCTTGTTTGATGAAAATATTCTGGTTAATAAATCCTGAAAGTTTGAAATCGATCTGATACTCCAAAGTATTTATCGGGATTTTTTAAAGGTGATTTAACGTGAATTTTCCATCTTTTTCTGGTATTAAGTTGGAGAAAACCTGATAATTTTATTTCTAAGCTTCAGATTGACTTCAAATTTCTCTTGTTTGATGAAAACATCCTGGTTGATAAATACTGAAAGTTTGAAATCGATCTGATACTCCGCAGTATTTTTCAGGATTTTTCAAAGGTGATTTGATGTGAATCTTCTAACTTTTTCTGGTATTAAGTTAAAAAAAAACTCATAATTCTACTCCTAAACTTCAAGTTGACTTCAAATTTGCCTTTTTTGATGAAAACATCCTGGTTAATAAATCCTGAAAGTTTGAAATTAATCTGATACTCCGAAGCATTTTTTGGGATTTTTCAAAGGTGATTTAACGTGAATTTTCCAACTTTTTCTGGTATTAAGTTGGAAAAAACTTCAAAATTTTATTTCTGAACTTCAGATTGTCTTCAACTTTGCCTTGCTTAATCAGAACATCCCGATTAATAAATCCTGAAAGTTTGAAACTGATCTGATACTCCGAAGTCTTTTTCAGGATTTTTAAAATCCGATTTAATGTGAATCTTCCAACTTTTTCTGGTATTAAGTTGGAAAAAACGTCATAATTTTACTTCTAAACTTCAGATTGACTTCAAATTTGCCTTGTTTCATGAAAATATCCTGGTTAATAAATCCTGAAAGTTTGAAATTGATCTGAAACTCCGAAGTAGTTTTCAGGATTTTTCAAAGGTGATTTAATGTGAATTTTCCAATTTTTTCTGGCATTAAGTTGGAAAAAACCTCATAATTTTATTTCTGAACTTCAGATTGTCTTCAAATTCGCCTTATTTAATGAAAACATCCTGGTTAATAAATCCTGGAAGGTTGAAATCGATCTGATACTCCGAAGTATTTTTAGGGATTTTTCAAAGGTGATTTAACGTGAATTTTCCAACTTTTTCTAGTATTAAGTTAAAAAAAACCTCATAATTTTATTTCTAAACTTCAGATCGACTTCAAATTTGCCTTGTTTGATGAAAACATCCTGGTTAATAAATCCTGGAAGTTTGAAATCAATCTGATATCTGTCAATAATCTACATTCAACTTACCGAAAATAATTGTCGCAGGCGCCGGTCGTCCCTTAACTATTGCAAAAATGCCAAAAAACGCGACCAGATGTAAAATACTAAATAAAATAACATTTGTCCAAACAATTTTCATTTTATCTTCACTATTAGTTTTATCAACATTATTATTATTGTTATCAATCGATGGATCCGATAGTACCTTCATATTGTAAGTAACTGCATTGATGTGTATCAACCCAAGTTAATTGCTTTAATTTATAAATCCACGATCCGGTATAAATTTAAATAATAAATGCATCAACAATCTTTAGCCCGATTGTTCATTAACCCTCCTTACTTATAGGTCAATTTGGAAAAAAGTCTCTTTTACCAGAAATCCCAATGAAAATTTTATTGTTTCGGAAACACTGACGCACAAGGAAACTTATTGTCAATAAATATTAATAAATTATTGGTAATTTGCATGTCGCAAAATCAGGAAGTTCAAGAATAATGCACAAGGGAATTTAAAATTGTTTTTTTTTTTTGATTTCCAAGAATAACATGGAATGTATTGGTAAATATGTTGTTGCACTGTATTTTTTCCACGTATATTGGAAAATATTATGTTATACAGGGTTTCTCATGAACAATTATTATACACAACTTTCTAGGATCAGAGAGAAGATTTCTCGTAGTCAACTTTAATGCTCCATGGTCTTCTATTTATTAAGATGTTTAATCTGCTAAAGAGAGTAGAATCGGTAGAACAGGAAGACAAATATGTGATTTATAGCCTAGTAAAAAAATACGACCATAGTTTTCAAGGCATAAAATTCAGTTGAAAAAAAAGGTAGAGCCAGTTGTAGAACCTCTAAGAAAAATTGCAATCAGCCTTCAGCAGTCAGTTAAAAGTGAGCTAGATAAAATAGAGAAAATGAGCGTTTTGAGAACAGTCACTGAACCAACTGAGTGGTACAGTTCTATGGTCATTGTAAAAATGCCAGATAATAAATAGTCTTCGAATTTGTTTAGACTCACAAAATCTCAATAAAGCCATAGTACGTGAGGTGTATTAGCTTCCAACTTTTGAGGAAATTGCATCTAAGATGGAAGGAGCAAATATTTTTTCATTACTGGATGGCAAAAAGGGCTTTTATCAGGTCAAGTTGCATGAAGAAAGTGAAATACTTACATTTAATGCTGGGTGTTATGGGCGATATTGTTATAGGAGAATGCCTTATGGACTGTGCTCTGCACCAGAAATTTTTCATCGTACACTCAAGAATATTTTTGCTGGATTTCCAGGAAAGGAAATTTACTTAGATGATGTTATAGTCTGGGCAGCGAATAAAGAAAAACTCGCCAAAAAATTGGAAGCAGTATTAGACAGAGCTAAACGTGCCAATGTTTGTTTCAATCGACTCAAGTGTAAATTCGGGTTAAGTGAAGTACGTTATATAGGCCATGTGTTTACAAAAAAAGGTTGACGTCCTGATAAAGACAAAGGTGAGTGCTATTTTGCAATTAAACAATCCAAGAAACAAAAAAGAACTACAGATTTTGCTAGGAATGGTTACCTATGTATCTAAGTTTTAGCCCAATTTGACGAATATTATCAGCTATAATAATAATGTGCTGAATAAGCAGGTCACACTGATCCAGTTGGTAATGCAACAGGGGTGAGGTCAACATATCCCAAGATCAATTGGGAGCTCTTCTCAAGGCTGCGGAATCTTTGCAAATCAAAGGTTTGAGTGATAATAAGAAAGAACAACCTGCTAAAAGAGCTGCACCGGTTGCCCCAGCTCCAAAAAGCCCTCCACCACAGTAACCAAAAGTACAAGGTCTGACCATTGAACAAAGAAGCCGTGTCGATGATAGAGAGAAACGAATGCGCCGCTAGAGTGAGGACTTGGATACACACCATGATGCTTCCAACTCTTCTCTGACGCTCACAGCTTGCCTCAGAACATTCCCCAGACAACTTCGTTACCTGTTAACGTTAAAATGAACTCTGACTTGCCTGAATCCATTGAGACCAAACATGAATTAATGCTACGCCATAAAGATGACAATGGCTCTCAACAATCTCAAGTTCCAAAATGGAAGCCACCTGATGAGGGTGGAAGGTGAAAACATTGAAGTAACTCATCACCCGAATTTAGTCGCTCCTTCAGATAGAGTCGATACCTATTGTGATATTTTAGCGATTAGTGCCAAATACGCTATTAAATATTATGGATGACGATCAGCAGTTCTGCCTCAGGTGGAACAATCACCAGTCAACGCTAGTAGCTGTATTCGACACCCTACTAGAAAATGAGAAACCCTTTGACTGCACCCAAACAAAGTTTTTGCAAGCCCAGAAAGTCGTTCTGTCAGCTTGCAGTCCCTATTTCGAGTCCTTGTTGTCTCGACATTACGACAAACACTCCATCCTCATCTTGAAAGATGTCAAATTTCAAAAACTGAAGCAATGATGGATTACATATACAGGGTGTGCACTATTTGGGCACTACACTTGCTTACGGCTTCTATCTTCTTGAGGCATGGCAGTAGTACTTCTCTGCTGACTTCGTGACCAAAATATTGCACCTTTTTCCTTCCTAAAAGATTCTAGAGCTTCCTTAAGTTGGAAGCGCCAACGTCAAATTGCAGGGAGTAACACGTCCATATAGGATAAAGCTTTGCCATAGCGAAGAGGTCCTAACACTTCATTAATAGTTCTCTGGAAAATCGCAGGAGCATTACAAAGACCAAAAGGAAGCCTCAAATATTCATAGTGGCCATCTGGCCGTTTTTGGAACAAAAGCTTCTTCCATTCATAGTTGATGGTATCCACTAGGCTAGTAAAATATTGACAAGTTTTCAGTTTTTCGAGAAAGTCATCAACTCGAGGCAAAGGAAATCTGTATCTGACTGTTACCCTGTTTAATGCACGGTAGTCAACACACATGCGCGTTTCGCCGTTTTTCTTTTTCACTAACAGGCATTGTGCGATTCCGATTCTCGAATTATTTCATTCTCAAGCAAGTCCTGCACAATATTCTTCACAACTTTTCGTTCATCAAAGGAAAATCCATAAGGACGATAGACTACAGGTGTATTACGGCCTAAATGAATGGACATGCGTAGTACATCTGTTTTAACTACTGATTTGTATTTTGAGATAAACCGTCATATTGTGAAAGATTAGAACGACGAGGTCGTAGACCGAGTCGTTCTGATCACACGAGTTTTGTAGTCATGTTAAAACGCACGTGTGATGTACAAGGTTTTATCGACAAGGCGAAAGCTAAGAATATTTTCTCAATTATTTTCATTTAATATTAGTTGTCTACCTTCATTTTACCTTTACAGGTTTAGGTACCTTTGACATTTGTCAAATCACCAAAAATAGTTGTGTTATAGATTCATAACTTAGTCCATAACACAACTAGTTGTGATGAGTCTCATGACATAACTTAAATACTAGAAAGATGGTTATGTAAAAACGTCATAATCAAACGCTTGTAGATAAATTCATCATAATTCAACCTAAACTGTAAGAGCTTATTACGTAACTCATTTCAGTGGCGCATCCAGAGTCTAGGTCTGGCGGGGGGGGGGGGGGGGGGTATCCAATACACGCTTACTAACCGCCGGAGGCAACATAGTTTAGAATCCAAAAATCGATGTTCGGAAAACATCGATGTTTTTCTATCAATATTTTTTTAACATCGATATCAGCTTTCGATGTTTTATCGATACCGAAACATCGATGTTTTCAGTTGGATGGGCATCCCTAGTTGTTAGATGTAGGGTAGGTAAGGGCCGAATTTATAGTCATTCCTTGGGTGAACTGCTAGTTCGAGGCCGAACCGCTAGTTCGATCGAGCTGAAACTTGGTACGTATATAGTGAAACGGGAACTCTATCGAAAAAAAAATACGAGAGGCTCCTATATAGAAAGCAAAGCTCCCTGGGGGGCCCCTAAAAAAAATTTCGGGGTCGATTCGGACGAAATTTGGAGTGTAGGTAAAAGGGGTCTGACAAAGTTGAAATTTCAAGTTTCAGCCCTCGACGACTTACCGGAAAGGTTTTAGCCCCTATCCCCCCAATTTTGAAAAAGGGCGTGTAATGGGGTATACGCGCCCTGCATTTAATTTTCCGAATTTTGAAAAATTAAAATTTTCATCGGATAGAGGAGCAAAAAATACGTCGAAAATGTCTCTAGGCGTTTTTTGCCCCGACGCTTCCTAAGCCCGCAAAAAAAAAAAAAATCTCTTGGGAAATTTTGGGGACCTGACACGGCGCTACTTTTGCGCTTATAATTTTGGTGATTTCGAACCAATTGTCTCAAACCCGGTTTCTTTTGAAAGAGCATTGAAATTAACTACAAATTATTTGTTCCGTAATGATATTCCAGGTTGTTTCTGTCTCCGAGATATAAGCCGTCAAAGTTGAAATTTCTCTGAAAATTTATTGAAAGATTTGAAGTCGATTTTCTCAAAAACGGTGCCCCGTGGAGGGGAAACTCTAATAAGCTTTTTTGTAGTTCTCAATGAGATCTACAAATTCAAAGTTCGTGAGTTTAGAATGGACACTTGCTACTATGTGACAAGTCAGTCATGTCAATTCTAAACTTTCAAGGCCTCTTCGAGGTCTGAGGAAACATAAAGAAGCAACTATAAATTCGGACCCAAGGGCCGGTTCTCAATAGCAAGTCACCTCCGGGCTGATTTCAACCCCAGGGTGAGCTTGTCCAGTTGCTTTGTTTACCTTGTAGTTATGCTTAACCCGGAGGTGACCTGCTATTGAGAAACCTGCCCTAAGACACCCCTGGAGTAAAAACCAACCCAGAGGTGAATCACTATTGAAACCGACCCTAAGTGTCGTGGCGCCGAGTGACAGACATTTGACGTCGATGAAGAAGACAAAAGTAAAAAAGCGCTGTTGCCATATCGCACAAAAATTTACTGCCGTTAGTGATATTTTAATTGTTTTCGCAATATATTTTCTATATTTTCAGTATAAAACCTAAAAATTTGGGTAGGTTAAAAAAATTCTAGTTTTCTGGGAGGGAGGGGGGGTAATTACCCCTATTCCCTCCCGTATATGCGCCCCTGACTCATTTTGTTTGAGTTAAGTAATAAGTTGTATTATCGTACTTAGTGATGTAATGAGCTCATTACACTAGTGATTTATATTACGTAACTCATTTTTATTGAAAAACTGTATTTTTAAAAATTTATTTGTCAAAAATTAAAAATATAATCTATTGTGCAAAATTAAAACCATTTCGAATACATGAAAAAAAATCTGGGTCGTACATAAAATGTTGTATATCACACGTACGGTAACGCTCATTACACCACTCGTGTGATTAAGCTCATACCGTACTAGTAATATAAATAACTATTACGTGTATCAAAGTAGCAACAAACTAAGGGCCAAAAATATCTCAATTCAAATTAGCGGTGACTGAAATTTTACGGTATTTCACCAAAAACAAATAAAGAAAATATCGGCTATATACAGTTTCAGGTAAAAATTCTAGGAACACGACTCGCTCGGATGACTCTCTAGCCTGGTGCAGGTTAATTCGCCCCAATGACCTTGAGTTTCAAAATGTCCACTTTGGCCGCTCGTATAACAGGTACCTAATTTCGCCCCGAACACCTTAATAAATAAACAATTACATATTTTCCTTAATCTGGGTGTGGAATTTTCTAAACTGGTCTATTGAAGAATTGTAAAATATGCAGACTATCTTACAGACACCTATATTTCTGTAGATTCCCTGTTCAACTTAGGGTCGGTTTCAATAGCGATTCACCTCTGGGTTGGTTTTAACTCCAGGGTAAACGTGTCTTAGGGCCGGTTTCTCAATAGCAGGTCACTTCTGAGCTAAGCATAACTCCAAGGTAAACAAAGCAAGTGGACAAGCTCACCCTGGAGGAGAATCGCTATTGAGGAACCGGCCTTATGTGCCCAGTTGCAATAGAGTTATGCTTAATCCGGTGGTGACTTGCTATTGAGAAACCGGCCCTTAGGGCCGAATTTATAGCTGCTTCTTTGAAGGTTCCTGAAAAATACTTTTAGCCATCCTAGCAACTTGAACCTTGAATTTGTAGATCTCATTGAGAACTACAAAAAAGCTTATTAGAGTTACCCCTCTACGGGGCACCGTTTTTGAGAAAATCGACATCTTTCAATACATTTTCAGAGAAATTTCAACTTTGACGGCTTATAATATCTCGGAGACAGAAACAACCTGGAATATCAGTATGAAAAAAAATTGTAGGTAATTTAATGCTCTTTCAAAATAAACGGGATTCGAGATAATCGTTTCGAGATCACCAGAGTTATAACCGAAAAAGTGGCGCCGTGTCAGGTTTCTAACATTTTCCAAGAGAAAAATCTTTTTTATTTTTTTTGCGAGTTTAGGAAGCGTTGGGGCAAAAAACGCCTAGAGACATTTTTACCGTATTTTTTACTCGTCTATCCGATGGAAATTTAAATTTTTCAAAATTCGGGAAATCAAATGCAGGGCGCGTATACCCCATCACACGCCCTTTTTCAAAATTGGGGGGATAGGGGTTAAAACCTTTCCGGTAAGTCCTAGAGGGCTGAAACTTGAAATTTCAACTTTATCAGACTCCTTTTACCTACATTCCAAATCTCGTCCGCTTCGCTTTCTAGATAGGGGCCTCTCGTATTTTTTTTTCGATAGAGTTCCCGTTCCACTATATACGTACCAAATTTCAGCTCGATCGGAGTAGCGGTTCGTCCTCAGCGATTTTTTGAAAATGAATTTTGGAATCATGTCAAAGATCTCAGCTACTTGAAATCATTTTTGATCCACCGAAAAAGGGATTATTTTGCAATACATTACCGACTTTTGCAGAATACTCTGATGCGGAATTCACAAACAGTTTAGGTCTAGGTACCTTTTATGTCCACTTACCCAATAAACATTTTTGTTTGTATAATAGTCACCGTAAATGTTATATCACCTATCTTAAATAACCTACAGTTATATATTTGGTAACAGAAACCTTTCTGTTACTTTTATGAACCCCTTAAAGAGCTTAAACGGGGCATTTATAAAGGTTGCGAAAACCTTTGTTTAGTAACGCTATATAAATTTAGGTCATGCAACCTAGAGTAACAGAAATATTGTGGTAACCTTTATATAACTTTCTAAATAACTCAAATATGTCACTTGTCAGTTATAAAAAAAACGAAGGTTTATTTCTCTCTCTATCGAACATTTTTTATATACAATGATATGGCCTTTTTCTACTTCTGAAATATTATCAGTCAGAGGATTGAACTTAGAAAATGAAAATGGAGAGCGAATTATAAAATACGGCTTGGTTTGTTTTGTTAAATTAACTTTAGGCTCTTCCGTGACTAAAAATGTAGGTGGAAACGATAAATATTGATGAAGTACTTCGAAAAAACGCAGGGGCCCTTAAAATATCCTATTATAATCAATTTCATGTCAGGTTTTCAAAAAATATACGTAGGTAGGTATGTTTGTTTTTTTATTTGCGACGAATTAATGACCAACGAAATTTGTATAAGCCACCATTTGACAAGTATGGGTTAATTTCATATCAATTGTTGATAAAATAAGTCAAATATTGGATTTTCACAAAGTAATTCGGTAATATTGATCTTGGCAAAACAATCATGGCGGAATCAATGAAGTAACGATATAAATATTGGAAAGCTTTGTTTTGTGTTCTGCCAGTTTTTTAAATAATCCATGATTAATAATAATAATAAATAAAAAATCCTGTTACAATATATTTGTTTACTAGAGGAAGGCGAAAGAATGAGATACTAAAAAATAAGGTTATGATGTTAAGCCCAGACATTGTTTACTAAAGTTTGCGAAGTTTTATAGGAGAAGCCTAATATAATTAATATCACCAAGAGTTTTATAACAAAGTTAGACCATTACTACAATTTACCAGTTTCTATAAGAGTGATTTATCACACTTCTATATAACTACGGGTATTTTAGTTATATAGATAAGGTAATGGCAAACCTTATATAAATTTGTTATAAACACATTGGTAACGGTTACTAAAAGTTTCATAAAATGGTGATGGAAACAGTTATATCACCTTATTATATACTTGTAATTGGTGATGTATATAAATACATCACCAAAAGTTACGGATTATAAAACTACGAAACTTTCGTATATACTTCTATTACCTTTATATAACCAGTATAAAACTTGGTGTTACTATAAGTTGCGAAAAATGTTTATTGGGTATCCTAATCCAGACTGATTAAAACCATTCCAGAAAACGCTTGGGTCACTAAAAGCTCAAAATTGCAGGCAACTGTCATAGATCATGGATATTAAATACCTGGCAGTGGGATCTTCTTCTTATCCATAAGGCCCAAATCAACAAGCATATGATAAAGTTCACAAAAACATCATCCCACACATGCTGAAAATTGTATGTTTTCCAAAATGATATACGACCCGGAAACTAACTGTATGTATTTAACAATTAATAATTATAATTGAAATCATTAACCTATCTCAATAATTAACAAAGGTACAACTTCAAATAAAATGTTCCTAGCTAAATATTCCATTATCGGATTATAAACATTAATATTGACTTTAGAACAATATAATATTGCAAAATAAATTATCGGTCACAAATAATTTATCCTTTGTAACTGATAAGATTTGATTGCAAAAGATGAATACCCGAATTATTCTGAATCTAATAGGGATGATAATGGATATAAATAGGGAATAACGAGCGTAGGAAATTCATAGTTTCAATAGCTTCCTACTAAGAACAGCTAAGATGAAATTTTTGGGTATTTTTTTGGTTTTAGGTGCCCATCAGGTGGTACCATCTTTGGCAACAGGTGAGTAAACTACAATAATTATTAAAACAACCTTATTGTATTGGTAACTTTCTAAGTGATTTTAAAAAAGGTTTTTTGTATCAATACATTTTTTTCGTTATCCAGGCCTGAGAAACCATCCTACACCGTCAACAAGTACCACAAAAACAACAACCACCGTACCACCTCCAGACAGACGTAAGTACTAATTGGAGTTAGAAGGGTATTAGGTACCAGCTTATCCCATTGAACTATAAACTTGCAGGTTTTGATAATATTGACACCCCTTTTTGGTATTGGAATTAGTTAGATACCCAATTTTTATTTGTGAAAAAATAAGAATATTTGGAATTGAGTACTAATTTAAAAACTCATACACAATGGTCGAACCAAATTCTGGGAAACTTCTCTAATTTCATTTTAAGTTATAAGAAGTGAACATACTTACAAAACTTCTTAACTCAATAAGTATCTGTTTTGGATCAAAAAAATTATACCTAGCAAAGTTCCTGGATGTTTAGTTTTCTACCATGTAGTTTCGATGGGCAAATTCCTATTAACTTTTTGTTTTTCGAACATGACTTCCTACTTTGGGACTGCATTTACAAGACATAGTTTCAACGACGTAGCTATAGCTTTCACATGGGGGGGGGGGGGGGGGGGTTAGAGCAGTAGTGGCAGCTCATGGTCTATGCTGGAAAGGGTTTCAATTTTAGACCAGACGATGTATAGGCGACCGGGCGTAGCATAGTCAGAGCTGTTTCGAGTACAGGCAAAATATACTCGGCTACCGGGTACAAGTACTTATCATAGAATGTTCTTGAGTACAGAGTACAATTACAAGTATTCAATACCCAAGTATTCAAAGTACTGTATACATTTATGAATACATTCTAATACCACCTTGCATTCCTACCCAATGATGTCATAGGTACAAGTTATTACGCAACGTCCTCTTTTAAACAGCCTTGAATTATCATGGAAATCTAATGAATCCTCATAGGCTGCAAGCGCTGAGGTAGCTGCGAACTCAGCATTGCACATGGGTTATGTCGTCACCTCTCCTTTCACACTTCCGTCACATTTCCCGAAATTTACCATCAAACCGCCGGTATAGATGTTCACACATCAAAAATTGGAAAACACATTTTGGTTTACTAAATGAATTCAGCAATTTTGAAGTTTGATTGGTGATTATCCAGAGTCCAGAGTTTATAGGGACTCGGTTATAACTGCACAAATTATAATGTATAATTATATATTCTGAATCAGAATTAAATTATCTTATCTTATAGAATAAGATTCAATTCCCTATGTTAAATACTCCTGGAGATATTGAGGCTCAAAATCAAAACTTTGTCTCAAATTTCACAAAAGATTCAAAGCTGATTTTCTCGAAAACGAAGCCCTTGGTTTCGGAGTCTCAAATAACCTTTTTTATAGCCCTTCTGGAAAGCTACAATTGAGCAAATTATTTATGCCGATAGCTTCACTAGTTTCCAAAATATGACTCTTTGAAATATTTGAATGTCAAATTTCCATGCATACCCCTTTGAAGAAATTTGAATTTTTAAATTTTTGGATTTTGCAATTTTTGACTTTACCAATCGAAAGAGGAGGTGAAACTTAGTGGAAAAGCATTAACGCAACTTTGTTTTTTGGGTTTTAGAGCTTGTAATAGTATATTACATACCGAATAGGGAAGTGTTTCATTACTGTCGAGAGATTTATATAGTCAATCGAGACGCGAAGCGTCGAGATTGACTATTACTCTCGAGACAGAAATGAAAACTTTCCTCCGAGGTTTGTATACTATTTTTTCTACAAACGTGTTAAAAATGCAATTTTTAACACCCCCCCGAAGCATTAAAAATGTTACTTTATCGCACTAGTGCCATAAAGTCTTTATAGCACTAGTGTTAAAAATGAAACATCAAATTTTGAGAGCGAACGTCAAAAAAAGTTTGTATTTTTAGTTATTTACATTGATATTAATGGTGAAATTTGAACAACTGAGGTAGCCCGATTGGCCGCCTCATGTATATTTTTCAAGGGATCGATGCAACCCTCTTTTTCTTCTGTATTTTGTTGCATTTTAAGCAAAAAGCAGTACTGACCACGACAGACTTCCAAGAAACTGACAAGACATTTCATTACCTGTAAAACAAGGTGCTGGTTGTTTGGACTTTTTGACAAATGTCAAATTCAATAATTTCATGTAGGAAAAATGCTTCCAATTTATTATTCATTTAAAAATCCAATTTGTTACTGGTTATTGCTTTTTATGGCCGTTTGTAGAAAAAATATTGTATGATATTTGTGTTAAAAGTATTTTTAAGGCACTTATGTGAATTGCAGAATTCGCTTCGCTCATTCTGCAAACTTTCACATGCGTGCCTTAAAAATGTACTTTTAACACTTATATCATAAATAACTATTATTTGCAAGCCCACCATTAATTATGATTAGTCATTTAATTTTTTTAATATTAAAAAAATGAAACAAACATGCCAAAATGTGTCATTCACTGTTTTGACGTTTTTACCTGACATGTTCTCATTGTTGCCAGCAAAGGTAAATAAATTACAGTGAGGGAAATCGGTGAGGGAAGTCGAATAGGGAAATCGGTGAGGAAAAAAGTGACACTTCCAAATTTTTAAAAAGTCAGTAATGTCAAGATTACATAATGGTTGCAAATAAAAAAATAAAAACGATTTTTGCAATTTTTGAGCTCAGAAAATTTCAATATACTGACATTGTCTCACAAAATCGCTCATTAATCGGTTATTATTACAACAAATATGATGTAAAATTAAATATTCTGAATCAGAATTAAATTATCTTTAAGATAGAAGAAGATTCAATTCTCTATCTTAAATACTTCTGGAGATATTGAGGCTCAAAGTCAAAACTTTGTCTTAAATTTCACAAAAGATTCAAAACTGATTTTCTCGAAAACGAAGCCTTTGGTTTCGGAGTCTCAAATAACCTTTTTCAAAGCCCTTCTGAAGAGCTACAATTGAGCAAAGATTTATGCCGATAGCTTCACTGGTTTCTAAAATATGGCTCTTTGAAATATTTGAAAATGAAATTTTCATGCATACATCATACCCCTTTGAAAAAATTTAAATTTTGTAATTTTTGACTTCACCAATCGAAAGGGGAGGTGAAAATTAGTGGAAAAGCATTTACGCAACTTTGTTTTTTGGGTTTTAGGGCTTGTACAAAAATAAAAACCGTTTTTCCACATTTTGGGCACAGAAAATTTCAATAATCTGACATTGTCTCATAAAATCGCTCATTTCTCGGTTATAACTGCACATATTATAATGTATAATTATATATTTTGACTTAGAATTAAATTATCTTCAAGATAAAATAAGATTTAATTCTTTATCTCAAATACTTTTGACGATATTGAGACTCAAATTCAAAACTTTGTTTGAAATTTCATAAAAGATTCAAAGCTGATTTTCTCGAAAACGAAGTCTTTGGTTTCGGAGTCTCAAATAACCTTTTTTATAGCCCTTCTGAAGAGCTATAATTGAGCAAAAGATTAATGCCGATAGCTTCACTGGTTTCCAAAATATGGCCCTTTGAAATATTTGAAAATCAATTTCCTATGTACCCTATATACCCCTTTGGAAAAATTTGAATTTTTAAATTTTTTGCAATTTTTGACTTTACCAATCGAAAGAGGAGGTGAAAATTAGTGGAAAAGCATTTACGCAACTTTGTTTTTTGGGTTTTAGAGCTTGTAAAAAAATAAAAATGATTTTTGCAATTTTTGAGCTCAGAAAATTTCAATAATCTGACTTTGTCTCGCAAAATCGCTCATTACTCGGTTATAACTGCAACAAATTTGATGTAAAATTATATATTCTGCATAAGAATTAAATTATCTTTAAGATAGAATCAGATTCAATTCTCTATCTTAAATACTTCTGGAGATATTGAGGCTCAAATTCAAAACTTTGCCTCATATTTCACAAAAGATTCAAAGCTGATTTTCTCGAAAACGAAGCCCTTGGTTTCGGAGTCTCAAATAACCTCTTTTTATTGAGATAAAATTCAGTGAAAATTTCAGCTTTCTATCTATAACAGAAAAAAAGTTATGACCTTTCAAAGTTTTCCAAAATCTAAATCATAAGATGTGCTTTATGGGTTTGCAATTGGGTTGCTTATGACCGTGTTTGGGTTGTGATTCAAGGTAGCTTTTGATAATTATTGTAAAAGGAAATCAGAATTTCCAAATTTATGGCCACAGACACAATGTCACAGTGCACAGAAAAGTTCAAAATTTTCGTTTGCAAATCACAACGATCAATGGAACGCATGCTAAGCATCTGATGCTAAACAAGAAATGGCTGAAAATTGGTCATATCGTAACCGTAACATAGCAGGTCTGTTCCAAAACAGCAGGAAACCGGACAATTTATCGTCATGATTCTGCGCAAACTGTAAAATTTGCGCGAAGAAACCGAAATTCGTTCACTGAGTGGTTTCGAAATCGTTCATGGGACGGTTTTTGACGTGTTGGAACAGACCTAATGTCAGATCTCAACTTGTCTGGAAATGTACTTGTGACCAAATAAATATGTATTTAATTAGAGTCTAATAATTTTACTCACCAACTGCAAATGTATTCGAAAACAATGAAAATACCCGGGTATAATAAATGTATTTGAGTAAAAACGCACGTACGCGGGTATTTTGAAAATTACTCAGTACAATAAAAAGTACTGGGTACCTATTTTCTATATTCTTAAGCAGTCCAAGTACGAGTACAAGTACGCGATTCAGAAAGTATCTTGGCCTGAGTACCGAGTACAAGTGAATAGTACTCGTACCGTACCCGAGTACCGCACAGCTCTGAAGCCCATCAGGATATCGTAAAAGGCGAATATTTTTTTCGGGTACCTCGCCCAAAAATGTTTATTTTTCTTCAACAAAAATAATTTATTCAGTTCAATGGGGGGGGATGCGAAACCTCAAACCCCCCCCTTATATACGTCCTTGCATGATGAATTTCTTGGTTTTCATGTGTTTGAAAAACCATTCCAAGAATCCATTTCATATTGATTTAAATTTAAATTCTGTTTACAAAGTATGGAAATATGTTTACGAAAATAAACAAGATAGGCCTAATTTCCATAAAAAATAACTATGCACCTGTAATAGCTGATGTTCACTTGCAAACAATAAATTATTCTGGTTAAAATTTGGAATATTTTCGAATTACGTACGGATAGAGATGTTATGGTGTGCGTGATTGCTTTGCAACACGTACTATGAATGTGTTAGGTATCCTTAACATACAACCACCACCTTAAGCGAATTATCCATTTCCAAATTTTAATTGCGATATCATTTTTCTCTCTTCCCTTTTTTGGCATCCATTTTTGTGAAATTGGTTCTCCCATAATAATGACATCACACATGAGTCATTTGCACCATTTCAAAGTGATAATGGTATTGAAATTGAAGTTGCGAATGCGAATATGCGATGAAGTATTAAGATATAGTATGACAAAGAATATTAGAAAAATTTCCAAAGAATAAGTGAATGGAAAAGTACCTATACGATCTACTTTACAATTTCAAGTGCTTAGTCATCGTAGGTAAAATATTTAATACATTTATGCAATTTCCGCCATTCTTGCCTAGCAACCAATTCAGAAACATTTTTTTTTTGAATATTAGATGCCGTTATGTGCTAATTGATGTATTCATATTCATGAATTATTGAAATTTTTGTAGCGCCATGTCCAAAAGACTGCAAAGAACCAATTTACGTGCCTGACACTGACTGTTGCAAATACTGGCAATGCGACGAAGGTAACGCTATGCTACGAACCTGTCCGTCAGGTCTAAACTGGAATCCTAGTAAAAACGTTTGCGATTGGCCGGCAAATGCAGGATGTGACGGTAACGGTTGGTGCAATCTTGTTCCCATTGTTTGGTAAGTAAGAGGAAATAATCTAATAGTGCAAATGATTTATTTTATGATTTTACAGCCCAACAACTCCCAAACCAACCACTACACCCAAGCCAACCAAAGATCCAAATGCACGTAAGTATTCACACGCATGCGTATACCAAAGATGTTTGACTATAATCTTTTTTTCATTGCAGCTCCATGTCCAGCCGATTGTCTACATCCCCTGTTTGTTCCTGACAAGGACTGCTGCAAATATTGGCAATGCGACTCCGGTACAGCTACCAAATTAAGTTGTCCATCAAATCTGAACTGGAACCCTGTTTTGGATACTTGCGATTGGCCTGAAAATGCCGGCTGTACTGGACAAGGATGGTGCGATGATGATCTCAAATGGTAAATGCGTTGATGATGATAATATATTGAAATGTTTATAATTTTGTCTTTAGCCTTCCTTTGAACACAACGACTAGCTCTACTTCTACTAGTACTGCGTCTACCATAAATCCAAAAGCACGTAAGTAATTGTTTAACATTTTCATAATATTTGAATATATTTTCACATGAGTAAAATTATAATACCAAAGTTATTTGAATAATTATTATACATGATGTTTATTGTATTTTAGCACCATGTCCAAAGGACTGTTCTGATTTAGTCACAATTCCTAGCACAATTTGTCACAACTACTGGCAATGTATCAATGGAGTAGCGAACGAAGTGAGTTGCCCTAGAGATCTTGAATGGAATCCCATTTCGAAAACGTGCGATTGGCCTGGAACTTCTGGATGTACTGGACAGGGCTGGTGCGATGATGACTTAAAATGGTACAGGTTTTTAAGTTTTTTTTCTGTACTTTGTACTAAATTTTGTTGTTTTCAGTCCTCCAACTACCAAGCCAACCTCAACATCTACAACTACCAAAGATCCAAGAGCTCGTAAGTAAATAATTCTATTGAATTTTCTTCTCTAATTACTGTTTTGTCCTTTAGCTCCCTGTCCTGCTGAATGTCGTGAAGCACTTCTGATTCCCAGTACAGATTGCTGCAAGTACTGGGAATGCGATAACGGCGTAGCTAAGGAACTTAGTTGTCCAGCAGGACTTGAATTCAATCCCATTTCGAAGGTTTGCGATTGGTCAGAATCTGCCGGGTGTAGTGGTCAAGGCTGGTGCGAGGAAGATTTGGAATGGTAAGATTTGCAATATATTCAAGGATACAACTAACATACAATTTTCTTCTATAGCCCGGAAGATTCATCACCTTAGGATGATTGAAGAAATCACTAAATAATAGGTATTTGGTTTGGTCAAGTTTGAGTAATACGACTTGATAAACATTACCTAATATTTAGCTACATTGAAGCTTTCGAAATACTTTTTGATTTTATTGTCATTGTGTCAATATTTTTAAATAAACGAAATACAAAAGCAAACATGTTTTATCATTACTCAAACAATTTGTTATTTTTTGGTGATTGGTCGAATCACTTCATGAGAAGTGAACAAATGTAGTATTTCTACAGAACTCATAATCACCTCACTTTTAATCATTATTCGGCCTCCTCACATTAGCTGAGAAGTGTTGGTTAAACTGAGCAACCATATTAAATTATATTTGAATTCATCCTTGATGAATGATGTTGTATAAACATTGTTGTATTTCCCATAGCGGAATATTTGTTTAGTTTTTATACGTTTTCATCCTGATGGTTATGCACCAGTTTGTAGATTTGCAGAAGCAAGTTGTGGGTTTAGACAAATACACAAAAGAGAACATAGGAAAAGCTCTAAGGCAGAGTAAAGTCTTGAATTGTTCGCACTATTATTATTTATACGAAAAAAATAGATAACATGATAGTAGCAACCATTGTTCTAATAGCCTTAGAAAGTATTGTTCCAAAATTGACTTTGGGTAGTTACAGGGTGGCCCGTTTAAGAGGGGCCTATACCTTATCTCGAAATCTAGAAGGGCTGTAAAAAAAACTTAAATACAAAAGTTGTTTCTAATAAAATTATCTACAACTTCTTTGTATTGTTCTTGTTGTCACTCTACTATATACAGGGTGGACAAATAAAATTTCCTTTTCTTTAATGGAACACCCTATATTTTATTACACTTTTACATAGCCCTTTGGAAGATAAATCCAACGATATACAGGTCATGTGTCTGTGATATATCGTTTCGAACTTATTAGCGATTATCTTCAGGATTTGCGGTAATTTTCACGCGGTGTTGCCACGCTTCGCAAAATGTAACGCTTTTCAATTTTTTTTAAATGGGATTTCCTGTAAATTTTCGAGTTTTTGGATAGCCCTTTAAACGACAAATTCAACGATATACTGGAAATAGGTCTGTGATGCACCGTTTCGGCCGGATTGGCAATTATTTTCAGTTCTAGCACAATATTTAATCTGTCCAAGTCGCCCGGTGAATAACAAACATGTTTATTTTCTGTCGACTATCTATTGACGTGCTTTATTAATGTATAAAAAATTGTTCAATAATATCACCACTGATGCATAAAAAGCTGTATTTCAGCTAATCTACCACAAAATTAACATTTTTTTCATTCAACAGGGATGACATGAGATATTGTGCTAGAACTGAAGATAAACGCCAATCAGGCCGAAACGGTGCATCACAGATCAATGTCCAATATATCGTTAAATTTGTATTTTGAAGAGCTATCCAAAAACTCGAAAATTAACAGGAGGTCCCATTTAAAAAAATTGAAAAGCGTAACATTTTGCGAAACGTGCCAACACCGCGTTTTTGGAACAAATATTACAAATTTAAATATAGTCCAAAGAAGAGCATGATTTTATAGAAAATATCATGCAAAAAATAAGTTTTCAAAGTTTATGAGTAACGTAACAATGATTGTTGAAAATTATCCCGAATCCTGGAGATAATCGCTAATAAGTTCGAAACGATATATCACAGACACATGACCGGTATATCGTTGGATTTGTCTTTCAAAGGGTTATGTAAAAATCTATTAAAATATAGGGTGTCCCATTAAAAAAAATTAAATTTTATTTGTCCACCCTGTATATAGTAGAGTGACAACAAAAACAATACAAAAAAGTTGTAGATAATTTTATTAGAAGCAACTTTTGTATTTAAGTTTTTTTCACAGCCCTTCTAGATTTCGAGATAAGGTATAGGCCCCTCTTAAACGGGCCACCCTGTACATGGAGTTTTGCTTTTTGTCTGGATCAAAGGATTTAGTTATGTTGTGTGCGATATGGATTTTTGCGTAGAAGCGTGATTGTTTTCTGAGTGTAACTTGTGAAGAGAAAAGTCCAAGATTGTGTAATCCGAGAAAAACCAAACCCCTAGGAAGCTGAAAGAGAAGGACATGTATATGGAAAAACACACAGGTGTTTGAGTACGATGTCTCAGAGGCTGAAACGATGAAACTTCAAATTTTTTTTTGTTGAGATTTTGTGTCCTAATGGTCCTTTGGGATCTCCTCAACTCCATACACTAAATTATTCCCAGATTTGAAGCCGAAATCTATGAAAAAATGGAACTCAGAAAAATTGAAAAATTGATAAATCACCCCAAATTGCTTAGTACGATTTTATCTCAGGAACCATAAGTGAAAATGAGCTGAAATTCTCAGGGATTCTATTCCCTTTAATGAGATAAATTTCAGTGAAAATTTCAGCTTTCTATCTATAATAGAAAAAAAGTTATGCCCTTTCAAAATTTTCCAAAATCTAAATCATAAGGTTCTTCTTACTGAAACGATAAAATTTCAAATTTTTTTTTGTTGAGATTTTGTATCCTAATGGTCAATTAACATCCCCCAAACTCCATTTACTAAAGTATTCTCAGATTTGAAGCCGAAATCTATAAAAGAAGGCACTCAGAAAAATTGAAAAATTGATAAATCACCCCAAATTGCTTAACACGATTTTATCTCAGGAACTATAAGTCCAAATGAGTTGAAATTTTCAGGGATTGTAGTCCTCTACTGAAGTAAGAATCGCTGAAAATTTCAGCTTTCTATCTATAATAGAAAAAAAGTTATGCCCTTTCAAAGTTTTCCAAAATCCAAATCATAAGGTACCTAGCTACCTTCTTACTAAAACGATAAAATTTCAAATTTTTTTTTGTTGAGATTTTGTATCCTAATGGTCAATTAACATCCCCCAAACTCCATTTACTAAAGTATTCTCAGATTTGAAGCCGAAATCTATGAAAGAAGGCACTCAGAAAAATTGAAAAATTGATAAATCACCCCAAATTGCTTAACACGATTTTATCTCAGGAACTATAAGTCCAAATGAGTTGAAATTTTCAGGGATTGTAGTCCTCTACTGAAGTAAGAATCGCTGAAAATTTCAGCTTTCTATCTATAATAGAAAAAAAGTTATGCCCTTTCAAAGTTTTCCAAAATCCAAATCATAAGGTACCTAGCTACCTTCTTACTAAAACGATAAAATTTCAAATTTTTTTTTGTTGAGATTTTGTATCCTAATGGTCAATTAACATCCCCCAAACTCCATTTACTAAAGTATTCTCAGATTTGAAGCCGAAATCTATGAAAGAAGGCACTCAGAAAAATTGAAAAATTGATAAATCACCCCAAATTGCTTAACACGATTTTATCTCAGGAACTATAAGTCCAAATGAGTTGAAATTTTCAGGGATTGTAGTCCTCTACTGAAGTAAGAATCGCTGAAAATTTCAACTTTTTATCTATAATAGAAAAAAAGTTATGCCCTTTCAAAATTTTCCAAAATCTAAATCACAAGGTTCTTCTTAATGAAACGATAAAATTTCAAATTTTTTTTTGTTGAGATTTTGTATCCTAATGGTCAATTAACATCCCCCAAACTCCATTTACTAAAGTATTCTCAGATTTGAAGCCGAAATCTATGAAAAAAGGCACTCAGAAAAATTGAAAAATTGATAAATGACCCCAAATTGCTTAGCACTATTTTATTTCTGAAACTATAAGTCCAAATGAGTTGAAATTTTCAGGGATTGTAGTCCTCTGGGATAAGAAACGTTGATAATTTCAGCTTTTTATCTTCGATAGAAAAAAAGTTATGACCTTTCAAAGTTTTCCAAAATCTAGATCATAAGGTAGCTAGCTACCTTCTTACTAAAACGATGAAATTTCAATTTTTTTTTGTTCAGATTTTGTATCCTAATGGTCCTTTGGGACCCCCTCAACTCCATACACTAAATTATTCTCAGATTTGAAGCCGAAATCTATAAAAAATTGATAAATCACCGTAAATTGCTTAACACGATTTTATTTCTGAAACTATAAGTCCAAATAAGTTGAAATTTTCATCTGACACACAACCAAATTACTCAAGAGAAATCTCTACCTCTCAACTTCTTGCACACAGTCTCCTAGGTTAGTTTTCATGAACAATAATACACAGCTTCAGGATCAGAAGAGTATATTTAAAAGGAGCTTCCTCAAGTTTGGCCTCTCGTGATGTTGTCGTTTGGGACATAAGTATGATGCATCAGGACCAAATGGAGGAAAAAACTCCATGTCGAAAACTTTTTCTTCTTTAAGTGCCTTGTCTTCCCAGAACATTGGCGATTATTCGCGTTATCTTCACTTTGTCCGCTGCGGTCTTAAACAGTGTCATGCTGTTTACTCTATTCTATATCATTGGTGAAGATTCTTAAGCCAAGATGTTCTTTGGCGACTGACGACGCTTCCCCTCTATTTTCCCTTTAATAACCTATTTTTCCTTCAATAACTATGGAGCAATTCATATTTCGAATTTCTCGTTACGTGGGCAAAATACTCCGGCTTTTTTCTTTTTATTGCATTAAGTACCTCTCTTTCTTTGTTCATCCGTTGTAGAACCGTTTCGTTCGTCACTCTGTCCATCCACAATATCCTCGACAATCTTCGGTAAGCCCACATTTCGAAAGCCTCAATACTCTTGCACATTGTCTTGGTGTTCACATAGTGAATACATAGCAGAGTAATAAGCGTATTCCTAACGGGATTCTTAGAGCTTTGCTGGTTAATACTGTTTGCATTTTGTTCAATGATGTTATTGCTTGCTCTATATTCTGCTTCTAGTTTCCTGGGTTAAGCCCCACTTTTCATTCAATTTACAGCCTGGATATTTGTATGATTGTACTCTATCTCCACTGTTTCTCCATTTATGCTGATGTCCGTTAAGCTGTTAGCTATACTATCCAATTGGTTGTCTGTATATTTAAATATAGACCCATTTGTTGGCTATGGTTTGTTACCGCTAATAAGATTGCTAGTAAGACCATGTCGTCGGTATATCTTAGATTGTTGATGACGTAATTATACCCCCTGTTCTGTCTTCGACAGCCCCTCTGAAAATTATTTCTGCATATAAATTAAAAAGAAGGAAAGAAAGCACACAGCCTTGTTGGAATCCTCTCATAATAGGCACTTCATTTGATGTAGGTACCTATGTCCGTTTACTCTTTTATGTCCGCTGTCTGATTCCAGTACAAGTTGGCTATCATCCGAATGTCTCGTCCATCCAGGACTATATTTTTCAGCATAGCTATTAACTTGTGTGAATAAGACAACTACCCAAGTGCTTTTGCTTTGGTCGAAAAAAAGTTTCCTCCCGAATAATTGTTGATTTGATGAAATTATGATGTCTATACGTTTTTCATTCGAAAAAAATTCACAAGATTTGGTCAGATTATTTTCAATACAGAAATATCAGTGCCTCACGTTAGTTTATCTCAAATGACATTTCAGAAATCATGATATGGATCACCAAAAAATGAAACATTTTGAGATACATTGAGCTCTTTTACCTAAAACATAACGGACTTTTGCCGAATACAGAATTTTGATTGATGTTGATAGTTTCCATACAAACCGAACTCCTGTTTATTCTTCTTCTAAATAACTCTGGAATTAGAACAGTGGACCATCTATTTTTTTTTAACTGTCCACTTACCCTACCGTCATCAGAAGCTCCTAAAAATTGCAGGCAATTGTCATAGATTTTGGATATTTTAGTAAGGGAGGAAGAAGTTATTTAGATCAATCAATAATGAACCTAATGGCAGCGAGTGGGATCTTCTCACCCATAAAGCCAAAATAGAAAAACGTGCTAAAGTTTATGAAAACTTCATCGCCCAAGTACAGAATATTGAATTGACTCTACTGTGGGCGAAGTACCACAAATAACAAAGTGTTCGAGTAACGATAAAACATGTTTGCTTTCAAATTTCGTTTATTTGAAAATGTTAAATCAATAAAAATGTATTTCAGGAGCTTCAATGTTGCTGAATATGAGGTAAGGTTTCTTACGTCATAGGCCAAACCAAATACCAATATAATTTAGTAATTTCTTCAATTATCCTCATTTGATGAATCATCCCCATCTGATGAATCTCCCTCTTGTGATGATTTATCCCCATCTGATGAATTCTCTTCTGATGAATCATCATTACCTGATGAATTATCTTCATCTGATGATGAAGAAGAATCTTCCGGGCTATCAAAGGAAATGTTATTTTAGTTGTATCCTCGAAGCGTATATAGCGAATCTTACCATTTCAAGTCTTCCTCGCACCAGCCTTGCGCAGTACATCCAGCTGATCCTGGCCAATCGCAAGTATCCAAAACAGGGTTCCAGTTCAGACCAGGTGGACAACTTAATAGGGTACCTGTTCCGCAGTTACATTGCCAATATTTGCAACAATCCCTGTCAGGAACAAACAAGGGGTGTGGACAATCCGCTGGACATGGTGCTGCAATAAGAACAAATTAAAATCAAAAAGCTTTGATATAAGCATGTGTCGAAACTTACGTGCATTTGGATCTTTGGTTGCTGGACTAGCTGTAGTGGTTGGTTTGGGAGTTGTTGGGCTATAAATCATAAAATAAATCATTCGAAATTAGAATATTTTCTTCAACTTACCAATTAATGGGAACAAGATTGCACCAACCGTTGCCGTCACATCCTGCATTTGCCGGCTAATCGCAAACGTTTTTACTAGGATTCCAGTTTAGACCTGAGGGACAGGTTCGTAGCACGCCGTTACCTTCGTCGCATTGCCAATATTTGCAACAGTCAATGTCAGGTAACAAAATTTGTTGTTTACAGTCTTTTGGACATGGTGCTAAGAAATGTAACTTATTAGTCATGATTTTTTAAGAAAATAATTCTCTATATTTGCTCAAACTATCTTCGCTTTATCGTATAATTCCTACATCAAAAAACTTCAACTTTGATGATTGGCCATTAAAGTTCAGGACAGGTGCGAGGTACCATTTTTAAAATATGATGTGCAAAGGACTCAAGTCACTTATTATGTTGAGTTAATTATTCGAGGGTAAAATTTATAAAGATGGATGGATGCAAAATAAAAGTGAAGAGAGTTTGAAAGTTTAGTTCATCGTGATAAACTAGTATACTGATTTTACTTATTACTTACGTCTTTCTGGAGGTGGTGTTGCGGTACTTGTTGACGGTGTAGGATCGTTTCTTAGGCCTAGATAATGAAAAAATCATAGGTATATAAAAAAGCCAAGTGTTTTCTGCTTTTTTGAAATTACTGACAAATATTATAAGTTGTTTTAATAATTATTATAGTTTAAACTTTTAATATTTTTAACTCACCTATTGCCAAAGATGGTACCAATTGATTGGCACCTAAAACCAAAAAAATACCCAAAACTTTCATCTTAGCTGTTCTTGGTAGGAAGCTACTGAAACTATGAATTTCCTATGCTCGTTATCCTATATTTATACCCACTATCAACCCCCTATTTGAATCAGGATATTTCGGATATTCATCTTTTTCAATAAAATCTTATCGGTTACAACGGATAATTCATGACCGATAAATTTTTTTGGCAAAATGTATTGTTTCAAAAGTCAATATTAATAATAATAATCCAAATAATTACAAAGATACAATTTTTTTAGGCCTTATGGATGATAAGAAGATCCCACTCGCTGCAGGAGTTCATCATTTATCGATCTGCCTAGATAACTTCTTCTACCTTAACTGAAATATCCATAATCTATGACAATTACCTGCAATTTTTAGGAGCTTTTAGCGACGAAAGTGATTTATGGAATGGTTTTAATTGATTTTGATTAGGCTAAGTCCAGACATGTTCATCCAGGTCTTCCCGTACACCTGCGTGTCTCATTGACTGACGTCACGAGAACTACAAGAATGGTCACCTCTTTCTTGTTTAATATTCTAATTGATCACTGTGATAACCGAGCGGTGTCAATAAAAAGTGCGATTATATTTTTAATTATCACAGGTAAAGTTGAGTTATGCAAATCATTATTAATGGAGACTTAAGACGTTCATGATGGAGGGCGCGTAGCGGACGGACGCATATCGTTGGGTTGAGCGTGTGGTAGGCAGGAGTAGACCGGTGGAGCTGGTGTGCCTCGTGGTGATTTTCTATGAGGCCGGATGTGACGTTATGTTCCCTTTAGCGACCCATTTTAGTATACCTAGGTTCGCTTGGATTAAGCTAACCACTTGGCAACCTGGCTGTAGGTCCCCACATCACAATCACTCCTGAGAGCTTACAGCTGCTCAGAACTCCGTTTCAAATCAAAATTTTCTTGGTTTTGGTGGACTTGGTTTATGGTTCTCTGAAAAACCGCAGGAGCATTAACAAGTCCAAATAACATTCGTAGGATTTCTTGATTCAATGGCATCTGATGGTATTCAGATGCTAGGTCAAGAGTCGTAAAATAGATGTGACCTTTGAGAGAGTCCAGAAGGTCATCGATCCATGGTGATGGGTATTTATCTTTCAGCGTTTTACGATTCAAGACTCTATAATGCACATGCGCAGCTCACCATTCTTCTTTTTCACCAGTAGGACAGGATTTGCATGAAGTGAAGATGAGTCACGGATAATAGCATTTTCCATGAGGGCGTGAACTATTCCTATTACTCTCAGAAAATGCCATGCGATAAGGGCGATATGTAATAGGATTATCATCAGTTAGCGATATCATGAATGACAACCGTTATATTTTTGTTGTTAATAAATGATGGAAAGTGATTCCTGTATTGTTATTCATTGATTCCTCAGCAACTATTGAAACAATAAAAATACCAGAATAGTGAGTTTTGCGACCTGTCAACCGCTTAAAAATGCTGACATTTTTTGTCAATCGCAGAAAAATACATTTTTACATTATTTTTTTAAAATTACACCCAACGAAAAATATTGATTGCCATGAAAAGGACATATCGATTTCTTTGGATTGCAAATATTTTTGATTTTGGATCCTTTGTACTTTGCCACGTGGCAGTTGTCAATAATTGTGGAACCGGACAAACTCGAAAGTTCTTTCGCTTTGAGTGTAATTCTGGAGAAATATTTCTAAGGCAGCCTTGAAGCTTTGTTCATGTTCCGGCGATGTTTCCAAATATAATTTAAATGTACTTGATCTTATTTCTATCAACATTTCTTAGCTAATGTGAGATGGCCTGATTAGGTGTAGAAATGCTATAGTATTTCCAAACTCAATTGGAGCAAAGTACCAACTGGTGGCTGACTGGTCACTGAAAATATCCACAAGAAAAACACTGTCACTAGTCAGCTACCAGTTAAAATTTATATTCATCTTGCTTCAATTGACTTTGGAAAAACTATGTTCATTTCTCTGATGCGATTATTTAAGTCGTTGTAAAATAAAATACGAGCCGGAAATCAATAATTATAATTGGAATCATTAACCTACTCCCATTCACAAAGGTTGGTACTACCTCAAATAAAATATTCCGTGCAAAATATTCATCGGATTATAAATATTAATATTGATTTTAAAACAATACATTTTGCCAAAAAAATTATCGGTCAGGAATTATATCCTTTGTAACTGATAAGATTTTATTGAAAAAGATGAATACCCGAATTATTCTCAATCAAATAGAGGGATGATAATGGGTAAAAATAAGGAATAACGAGCATAGGAAATTTATAGTTTCAGTAGCTTCCTACCAAGAACAGCTAAGATGAAATTTTTGGGTATATTTCTGGTTTTGGGTGCCTATCAAATCATGCCATCTTTGGCAATAGGTGAGTGAAAAATATTGAAAGTGTAAACTATAATAATTATTAAAACAAGTTTTGAGTGTTTTCAAAAAAGGATAGGACACTAGGCTTTTTTTTTTTGATATATATGATTTTTTCATTATCTAGGTCTACGAAACGATCCTACACCGTCAACAAGTACCGCAGCACCACCTCCAGAAAGACGTAAGTAATGAGTATTAGTATAGTAGTTTATCACAATGAACTAAACTTTCAAACTCTTTTCACTTTTTTTTTGCATCCATCCAACTTTATAAATTTGGTCCTGGCATAATTTTTTCAACATAATTCAAGTTGCTTGAATCATTTGCAAAACATACTTTAAAGTGGTACCTTGAACTTGAATGGTCAAACATCAAAGTTGAAGTTTTTTGATATAGAAATTATACAATAAAGTCTGAAGATAGTTTGAGCATAATGATTTTTCAAAAAATCATGACTAATAAGTTTCATTTCTTAGCACCATGTCCAAAAGACTGTAAACAACAAATTTTGTTGCCCGACACTGACTGTTGCAAATACTGGCAATGTGACGAAGGTAACGGCGTGCTACGAACCTGTCCGTCAGGTTTAAACTGGAATCCTAGTAAAAATGTTTGCGATTGGCCGGCAAACGCAGGATGTGACGGCAACGGTTGGTGCAATCTTGTTCCCATTGTTTGGTAAGTTAGAGAAAATAACCCAATAGTGATTTCGAATGATTTATTTTATGATTTGCAGCCCAACAACTCCCAAACCAACCACTACACAAAGTCCAGCAACCAAAGATCCAAATGCACGTAAGTTTTGACACATGCTTATATCAAAGATTTTCAATTTTAACTTGTTTTTATTGCAGCACCATGTCCAGCGGATTGTCCACACCCCCTGTTTGTCCCTGACAGGGATTGCTGCAAATATTGGCAATGCAACTGCGGATCAGGTACCCTATTGAGTTGTCCACCCGGTCTGAACTGGAACCCAGTTTTGGATACTTGTGATTGGCCAGCATCGGCCGGTTGTACTGCTCAAGGCTGGTGCGAGGAAGATTTGAAATGGTAAGTTTTGCTATATACGCTTCAAGGATACAACCAAAATAACACTTTTTTTATAGCCCGGAAGATTCTTCTTCTTCATCAGATGAAGATAATTCATCAGGTAATGATGATTCATCTGGAGAGAATTCATCAGATGGGGATAAATCATCACAAGAGAATTCATCAGACGGGGATAAATCATCACAAGAGGGAGATTCATCAGATGGGCATGATTCATCAGCTGAAGATAATTGATGATATTACTAAATTATATAGGCATTTGGTTTGGTCAAGTTTGAGATCATTTAGTAATATGACCTAATAAACCTTATGCAGCAATATTGAAGCTCCTGAAACACTTTTTATATTTATTGATTCAATATTTTTAAATAAACGAAATACAAAAGCAAACATGTTTTATCATTACTCAAACACTTTGTTATTTTTGATACTTGGCCCACAGTAGAGTCAATTTAACTTAAATAATCGCATCAGAGATATGAACATAGTTTTGTATAGTTTTTCCAAAGTTAATTGGAGCAAGGTGAACATAAATTATAACTGGTGGCTGATTAGTGGCAGTGTATTTCTTATGGATATTTTCAGCGATCAATTAGCCACCAGTTGGTACTTTGTTCCAATTGAGTTTGGAAATACTATAGCACATCTACACTTAATCAGGCCATCTCACATTAGCTGAGAAATGTTGGTAGAAATAAGATCAACTACACTTAAATGATATTTGAAAACATCGCTAGAACATCAGAAAAGCTCTAAGGCTGCCTTAGAAATATTTCTCCAGAATAAGACTCAAAGCAGAAGAACTTTAGAGTTCGTCCGATTACACAATTGAAAACTGCCACTTAACTGGATTGATTGATACGTGGCAAAGTACAAAAGATCCAAAAATATTTGCAATTCAAAGAAGTCGACATGTCCTTTCCATGGTAATCAATACTTTTAGTTGGGTGTAATTTTAAAACAATAATGTAAAATAGTATTGAATGATGAAACTATCGGTGATGTTTTTATTGATTTACAGTATAGAAATATCCCTGATACAGAACATATAATTCCGCTCTGTGTGACAAATTTGAATTAAAATTGTTAATATAAAAATATTCAATTCTTCGGACTTATGTTACAAAAAGGATAGGGTAGTAGTTTAGGGCTACACTTGTTACGAAGAAATTGATACCGTTGTTCCTATATTAACAACTGAAGTTACGAGATTCAGAAAATTTACGTCTCAAGATTTCATTGAATGAATAAATAATTCCAAAGACTGCTTTTGTACCAGATGGACACTACGAGTTCCTACGAATGCCGTTTGGACTTGTGGATGCTCCTGCGGTTTTTCAAAGAAACATAAACCAAGTCTTGGGCTCTTTGCGATTCGAAACAGCTATGGCATATTTGGATGACGTATTAATACTGCGTCAATATCATTACCAGATGGATTTTAAATGCTGAAACAGCGTGACCAGTTCAAGTAGGAAACCAAATAGCTGATCACGAATTATCAGCAAAAAAGGGCGATAATATGAAAAACAAGGAGCGGAAACCAGAAGACAACCAAAAGAAGAATTTTGAGAAAAGAGAGAACCAATAAGAGGAATTTTTAAAGATTCAATGAAGGAACTTCTGGAAGAAATATGGAAGGCTGTTAGGAGTACTTGACTGGAGGCATCGAATGTTACCGATAGAAAAGAAGAGGACATTTTAAGCGTGACTGAAAACTAAAGGGCCGCTGAGATGTCGCTCCCTTCTAGTGAAACTCTGCCTTGCCACATCATCACATTATCGAGACGACCTATGCCCAATTAAAGGCAAGTTCTTTCTCAGCGTGAGCGAGTCTTTGTTAGACATTTTTAATTTAAAAAGGAGTCCTGGACAGCTGTGAACTTTTAAAAGTGATCAATTAGAAGAAAGCATGATCAAATCCTTTTTAAGCCAAAAGGAAACTGGCAATAGATCAACAACGAATAGGAGGAAAGAAAACAAAAAGATTGGCGGGGTCCAGAAGGTCAGTATAACGATATTCAACAAGGAACCTTTATTGGAGTTCTCGTGACGTCAGTCAATGGGAACAAGAAACACGCAGGCATCAGGGTAGACCTGGATGGACAGGTCTAGACTTACAATTAACAAAATTGATTAAAACCATTCCATAATTCACTTCCGTCATTAAACGCTTCTAAAATTGCAGGTAATTGTCATAGAGAATTTCATACATCTGTCAAAACTTGTATTCCAACAATAAATTGACATGTTTTGATTGTTGATTTGACCAATCAGATTGTAATTACGCGATAATTTGCACTAGTGCAAATTATCAGATAAATGCATACTAACTGGTGCGAAAACTGGTGTTTTGACATTTTTTGACAAAAAATTTAAATTTTTGATTTATGAAATTCTCTCATTAAATACAACTCGTGCAATGGAAATATAATTATAATTTTCGACAAATTTGCACTCATGCGTTTTTAACTGAAAAAGGCACTCGTGCACTACGTGCACTCGTGCTCTTTTTCAACTAAAAATGCATTCGGGCAAATTTCCCAAAAATTATCAATAATTTCCATTGCACTAGTTATATTACTATTGATTATTATTATCATTGAGAATTATATTGAGATGTAATAGATACACACGAATAAATGATATGCTCGATTGTACAAACCTCTTAAGTGTTAGACAAACTATTACATATAACACCTTAGCCTTTATAGGTAAAATGTTGCATCATATGTTACCCAAACATCTTTTAGACAATTGCAGATTTGTGCATACATATAACACTTGGTCAAAGAATAACTTCTATCTAGACAGGGTTAATAGTAGTTTTAGTCAAAACAGTCTATTCTACAATTTCTACATGCACAGGTTTAAAATATTACAATGAACTGCCAAACAATATAAAGAACTGTGATACTCTGAGTAGCTTCAAAAAATCATGTTTATTATATGTAAAGGAAAATGTTAAAATTTGATTCCCAGTTTTTGATGTATGTAGGTACTAAGATCCTGAAAAAAGTTAGTCTATCAATAATAGGATAGGTATATTAATATGGTAGATATACCTTTATCAATCTGTGATAAACTACCAAGACATTATGTCATTGACTACTTCCTCCTAGGAAGCTTTAATTATATTATGTATATATAAGGATTATTGTATTTTTGCTAGTGCTATTAATAAAGATTTTATTATTATTATTATTATGGATATTTTAGTTAAGGTAGAAGAAGTAATCTAGGCAGTTCGATAAATAATGAACTCCTGGCAGCGAGTGGGATCATCTCATCATCCTAAAGGCCCAAATCAAAATACAAGGTAAAGTTTATAAAAACTCCATCGCCCAGGTGCAGGAAATTGTATCTTAGTAAAATCTAATGAGCTGTTCCGAGCAAAATATTCCATTAACGGATTATTAATATTTATATTGACTTTTGAAACAATATATTTTGCCAAAAAAAATTATGGTTCATGCATTATCCTTTGTAACCGATAAGATTTTATTGAAAAAGATGAATACCCGAATTATTCTGAATCAAATATGGGATGATAAGGGGTATAAATATGGAATAATGAACATAGGAAATTCATAGTTTCAGTAGCTTCCTACCAAGAAGAGCTAAGATGAAATTTTTGAGATTTTTTTTGGTATTAGGTGCCAATCTATTGGTCCCATCTTTGGCAATAGGTAAGTGAAAAATATTAGGTGTAAACTATAATGGTTATTGAAACAATTTATTATATTTCTCAGTGTTTTCAAAAAAGGATAAAACACTATAGGCTTTTTTTTTGATACATATGATTTTTTCATTATCTAGGCCTTAGAAACGATCCTACACCATCAACAAGTACCGCAGTACCACCTCCAGAAAGACGTAAGTAATAAGTAAAATCAGTATACTATAGTTTATCAATGAACTAAACTTTCAAACTCTCTTCACTTTTTTTTGCATCCATTCATCTTCATAAATTTGAGCCTGGCATAATTATTTCAACATAATTTGAGTCATTTGCATATCATACTTAAAAATGGTACCTTGCACCTGTCCCGAACTTGATGGCCAAACATCAAAGTTGAAGTTTTTTAATACAGAAATTATAATATATGGTCTGAAGATAGTTTGAGAATATATGGCGCCAACATTTTTTTTAAAATCATAACTAATAAGTTACATTTTGTAGCACCATGTCCAAAAGACTGTAAACAACAAATTTTGTTGCCTGACACTGACTGTTGCAAATATTGGCAATGCGACGAAGGTAACGGCGTGCTACGGACCTGTCCGTCAGGTTTAAACTGGAATCCTAGTAAAAACGTTTGCGATTGGCCGGCAAACGCAGGATGTGACGGCAACGGTTGGTGCAATCTTGTTCCCATTAATTGGTAAGTTAGAGAAAACAATCCAATAGTGATTTCGAATGATTTATTTTATGATTCACAGCCCAACAACTCCCAAACCAACCACTACAGCTAGTCCAGCAACCAAAGATCCAAATGCACGTAAGTTTTGATACATGCTTATATAAAAGATTTTTGATTTTAACTTGTTCTTATTGCAGCACCATGTCCAGCGGATTGTCCACACCCCCTGTTTGTCCCTGACAGGGATTGTTGCAAATATTGGCAATGCAACTGCGGAACAGGTACCCTATTGAGTTGTCCACCTGGTCTGAACTGGAACCCAGTTTTGGATACTTGCGATTGGCCAGGATCGGCCGGTTGTACTGCTCAAGGCTGGTGCGAGGAAGATTTGAAATGGTAAGATTTGCTATATACGCTTCAAGGATACAACCAAAATAACACTTTTTTTATAGCCCGGAAGATTCTTCTTCTTCATCAGATGAAGATAATGATGATTCATCTGGAGAGAATTCATCAGATGGGGATAAATCATCACAAGAGAATTCATCAGATGGGGATAAATCATCACAAGAGAATTCATCAGACGGGGATAAATCATCACAAGAGGGAGATTCATCAGATGGGCATGATTCATCAGCTGAAGATAATTGATGATATTACTAAATTATATAGGTATTTGGTTTGGTCAAGTTTGAGATCATTTAGTAATATGACCTAATAAACCTTACCTTATATGCAGCAATATTGAAGCTCCTGAAACACTTTTTATATTTATTGATTCAATATTTTTAAATAAACGAAATACAAAAGCAAACATGTTTTATCATTACTCAAACACTTTGTTATTTTTGATACTTGGCCCACAGTAGAGTCAATTTAACTTAAATAATCGCATCAGAGATATGAACATAGTTTTGTATAGTTTTTCCAAAGTTAATTGGAGCAAGGTGAACATAAATTATAACTGGTGGCTGACTAGTGGCAGTGTATTTCTTATGGATATTTTCAGCGATCAATTAGCTACCAGTTGGTACTTTGTTCCAATTGAGTTTGGAAATACTATAGCACATCTACACTTAATCAGGCCATCTCACATTAGCTGAGAAATGTTGGTAGAAATAAGATCAACTACACTTAAATGATATTTGAAAACATCGCTAGAACATCAGAAAAGCTCTAAGGCTGCCTTAGAAATATTTCTCCAGAATAAGACTCAAAGCAGAAGAACTTTAGAGTTCGTCCGATTTCACAATTGAAAACTGCCACTTACTGGATTGAACACGTGGCGAAGTACAAAAGATCCAAAAATATTTGCAATCCAAAGAAGTCTATATGCCTTTTCCTGGCATTCAATACTTTTCGTTGCGTGTAATTTTATAACAATAATGTGAAAATGTATTTTTCTGCGATTGACAAGAAATGTCAGCATTTTTGACCGGTTGACAGGTCGCAAAACTCCATATTCTGGTATTTTAATTATGTTTTAAAAGTTGCTAAGGAATCAATGAATAACAATACAGAAAACACTTTTCCGGCCTAGGCCGAGAAAGTGATTCTCGTACTGCTGAATAATTAGAACCAAAAGACAAACATTAAACAGTTATTTAACCGATCGCAGAAAAAATAGTATGTGTATTTCGGTGGAAAAGCACATTCTCGGCCTTCAGTGTTTGCGGGCCTCGGCTACGCCTCGCCCGTCAACTTACACCGTCGGCAGAGAATGTGTCACTTTTCCACCTAAATACACAATATACTATTTTCTGCGACTGACAAGAAATCATCAAGAAATGTCAGCATTTTTGATCGGTTGACAGGTCCCAAAACTCACTATTCTGGTATTTTTATTATATTTCAATAGTTGCTAAGGAATCAATGAATAACAATACGGGAATCACTTTTCCGGCCTCGGCTATGGAGCAGTAACAATTAAACATGTCAGATGCTGAAGGTGGGTTCGAAATTGGAGAGCCGCACATGTGCATAGATTATAGAGCCTCAAATCTTAAAACGCTGAAAGATAAATACCCATTGCCAAGAATCGATGATCTTCTGGACTCTCTCAAAGGTCACATCTATTTGACGACCCTAAACCTAGCATCTGGATACCATCAGATCTCATTGAATGAAGAATCAATTTCAAAGACTGCGTTTGTAATACCAGATGGACACTACGAGTTCCTACGAATGCCATTTGGACTTTCAAATGCTCCTGCGGTTTTTCAGATAACCATAAACCAAGTCTTATTGGGCTCTTTGCGATTCGATATAGCTATGGCATATTTGGCATAGCTGGACAAGGACAAAAATTGAGAAAGAAATAGGAAAATCAACATTCAAGTGCAAAATCGAAGAAGGAAATGTCTGGAAAAGACATGCCAACCAAATAAAGGCTGGGGAAGGGGAAAACTCGGGTGAGAGCAAAATGGAAAGGCAGGAACTAAGAATAAACTTATTCCACAGAACATAGCAAGAATAACCGAGCCACCATTGGACCAGCTTCATAATAAAACCAGTGTGAGTTGTAACGCTGATCCAGTGATCTTGGACAGTGCTTCCCAATGAGTAGACATAGACAACAGTAGTTATACTTCTAGCTCTAGGCCCATGAACAAAGCGACAGATACCATAAATAAACAATATCTACAGTGCTGCGATATACCCAACAAATGTAAGGGACGAAAATTCATTGGATAAGTCTAGAAAAAGAAGCACCAAGGACATTGATGACGCAACCAAGACCAAGGTTAGGCAATATTATTTTTCAGACTGAGATGGACGCAGCTGTTGGCGAAATAATAAACATCAAGCTAAAGCTGTATTGCATAAGCAAAATATTGTAATTTCAGAATCACATAATCCCAAGGCGTGAAACTATTTAGCATTAAGGCAGAGCTAACGGTCGTTGCGATAAGGTTCAATTAAGATGCTAAAAGCGTTTAGTTTTAATACATGAGGGCAACGAGTGTTTCCTCGAAACCACTAGTGCAGTAGTGGAAGTGTATCGAATTTACAGAAATACGAATTATCATTATGTAATACTAATGTAAGGTGTAGTATCAGCTTAAAGAGGGAGGTATGATGAGGCGGCCTACAGCCATAGGTGGCCAAGTGGTTAGCTCTGGTAATCCACGCGAACCCAAGTAGGTACACTACTAGGAGTCGCTAAAGGAAACATGACGTCACATCCAGCATCATGGAGAACCACCACGAGACACACCAGCTACTCCGGTCTACTCCAGCCTACCACACGCTCAACCCAACTCCATTAATAATGATATACATAACTCAACTGTGATAAATAAAACGCTTTAAGTATAATCGCACTTTTTAATGACACTGCTCGGTTATCACAGTGATCAATAATTAGAAGAAAGCATGATTAAATCATTTTTAAGCCAAAAGGAAACTGGCAATAGATCGCCAAGAAATAGGAGGTTCCAGAAAGTCAGTATTGTAATATTCAACAAGAACCAGGTGACCACAGTAGATAGTCAACACGGGTTCTAGCATCAAAATCCGACCATAACCTCAATCTTTCATTCTTGACACGTGGTGGATGCGCCGCCGTTGACACGAAGGTGGATGCATCGTCGGCGCCATCTTGTAAAACGTCATGGCGCCATCTAGCGTACATAGTGTGAAGTTCGTAATACAGGATGCTGTAGTTGGGACCCGTAGGGCTCCGCCCCCCAAAAGGGGGCCCACAGGGCTGCGCCCCCCAAAAAGGGGCCCCCGGATTTTATTATGGGTACCAGAAAAAGGGGTGGGGGGAAATGTTTTCCCGCCATCATGTCAAACGTCACCTGTCAAACGTCACCTGTCAAACGTCACCTGTCAAACGTCATCTGTCACATATGATGACGTCATACCGGGTTATTGCGGTGAATTCTTGCAATTACAGGTTCCTGTAATATGGAGTGAGCGTGGAAGGGATTGTTCCGAGTCGTTTCGAAATCGCTACGTATATTTAATTATGGTTCGGGTTCTGTGATGACGTCATAGCGACCTGGGTCACGTCCATTTTTGCATCAAACGCCTATCATTTCGTAAACACGCGTTATATCATTTTTTACTTATATGGTCACGTCAATGTGTGTCGGTGGCGCCATCTAGCGTACGTTGTGCGACGTGTCCTATTACAGGATGCCGTAGTGGTAAATAAAGAAAATTCGTGAAACTCAAGGTTACAGACCATCGAGTCGACGACGCTTAATGTCGGAGCGTTATAAACAAAGGTATCATATTTCACAGTTTATTTTACTGATAAGCATTTACGTTCTAGCGCAAATAACAAGCTGGGACTTGCATCTAATATTTTGTTGACGAAAAAAAGGATATTTTCACTGCAGATTAACTATGGGAAATTTAATGAATTAAATGAGTCACACTTGTTTTTTAAAATTAAAACCTATTTATTTATTAAACCATAGGGTACATTGACTTTTTCCAATATGGTACGTTAAATTCAATAATAATATTACGCAGCAAATGGCAATAAATATGACTACATTT